CAGCAGCAGCAGCAGCAGCAACAACAACAACGAACAACATTAGATTTATTACGTGAAATCGACCGTTTTCGTTCAGAAGATTATTATCGTTCGGATATGTGTGCTTTAGTTAATCAAGCATTAGCTACAGCACTTGGAATACCAATTCATATTGTTCGTGCTGTACGTGAACCAAATAATCCATTGGAAATATTTTTACCAATGCGTGGTATTGCTCGACCAGGTTTAGCTATTGTACTTATTGCAAGTCATCCACATACGGGAGATGGACATTATGATGTAGCAGTACTTAAAGGACATCCTCAAACATTACGTAAACATCGAAATGTAACATTTGATGATAAACCAGAAGTTAGATCATTTGAAACAAATGCTGATGAACAACAAATGCTTAAAGTCATACCATCAAATAATAATTCAGTTATTCAACAACAACAACAACAACAACAACAAGCATCAATGATGAATTCAGCTTTATTAGCTGCACATCAAGCACAATTTTTTGCTAATCCATTTATGTATTCACCATTTACATTTTCTACTTCTCAACAACAGCAACAACAAGTACCAACTTCACCTTCATTAGTTCGACCTACAAATACAAATGCAAATACAAATACAAATAATAATAATCAATCGAAAACAAGTATCACCGGTGCTACAAATTCAACATTACCAACTACAACAATGATGTTACAACCACAAATGCCATTTATTCAAATGCAACAGGCACAACCAACATTTGTTTATACTCCTCTTATGCATACAACACAACAACCAACAACAACGAATGGAACTGCTACTTTCTTTTATACACCTGCGAACTATCCCATGTGATTTTTATTTGATATTTAGAAAAAAATAAATAAATAAATCATAAAAAAAAACAAATGATTTTTCTTTTTTAAAAGAAAATCGTTCAACTCTCATTGAATTACTCAATCGATGCAAATTTCATACGAATAGTCACTGGATTATTAGAAAACTATTCGAGTCGGTGACCATGGCTAAGTGACTATGTTGTTCGACACGCATCTACAAGGAACTTAGATATCAGCAGCGGTTATTCATCTTGTATTATCCGTCCAATGGCATACTGACTACGTTGTGACATACACCTACTCTTATGGTTGGTTAGTATGCATGGGAAGCTCAAGCAATTGAGCGCAAGAACTTTACAGTAGGCCAACCTTCTGTCCAGGGTTATAACTAGTAATAACTGTAGGGAAAGTATCGGACTATTGAATCTGCTGCTAGGCGGTACACCATACGAGTAAGATAGCTGAAAGGCAGGGTTATTTCTCTTCTTCTTATTCGAACTGTTCTTTGATTCCATTGAATTATTCAATGATTGATCAGCTGAAATTAAACCATAAATATGTTTGACATTTAAGCATTGTTGGATCGATTGAAAATTAATTTTTCGAATATATTGTTCAATGACTTGACAGTCAAAATAACAACATGAGATCTTAGCAATGATTCAACGAAAGTTATGAGTCAATCCTAGGCTAAATTCGAAAAGATACAATTTGAAATAAGAAAACTTAGCATAAGTATAATACAGTATATAATTATATGCATCATCCATGTATTCTGTTTGAATGAGTCAAAATTGAACATATTATCTAAACTAAAATAAATTTTACTTATACTTTCTTTAAGTTCATAAAATGTGATCTATCATTGATGGCAGATAATAAATGGTTATTATTTGACTTTTCTTTTTTAAATTTTACTCAGTATGTTGTAGAATTATTTTATTAGTATATGATTCAATGAGAGTTATTGAATAATTTAATTTAAAAATCGATACTTCTAATCTATTCATAACACATTTTTCCTGAATACCAAATCGATTCGTCTATCGATAGATTATATCCTTGTCCAATCCTCTGGTTATCAGATAATCAGTGTATAAATATACTTCTGAGTTTTGGAATAAATAATCTATACACATATTCATATGATGATCGAAGTTTTTGAATTATTCTTATTATTGTCTATCATTATCTTAAAAAATTGCGTTGTAGTGAAACCTATTTTTGAGAGCACATGCATATAGTACAATAACTACAAAACTCTGAAGAACGAATTCGATCTTTGAAGAGGTGTCGCACTCACACTAGATAAAACGTTTTTCACAATTAACATTTATTGAGTTGACTTCCATTCCATCGAAAGAAGTATATTCAATGATAGATTATATCTCAAATATAAAATTGTTACAGGAAAGTATAAACTCAAATGTATATTAATTCATTGAATCTCAATATTCAATTTTCAGACCAATTCATTGGGAAATATTGCTTTCTCTTATGTCGTATTAGTCATGTCAAATTATTAAAAGAATTTCGTTACATAATCGAAGTTATTCTTTTCATTTGAAAAAACATATTCATAATTATATTTTTGACTATGTTGAATTGGACATACGTATATGGACTAAATCAGCGAAAACGGGACATTCACCCGTTGTATTTGAATATTATTCTCTATCAGTATAGAGTTTTTGAGTGAATTGTTTTTGCATAGGCTTATGTAAAATTGTCTGCTCTGTCATATGGTTATTAATTAGTTAATAATTAACTAATTAAAAACTAATTAGTGAATATCTCGATAGCCAAATGAGGGGAAAACATGAAAACTTCAGGATAGTCTTTAGGATATGAGCTGCATATATGGTAAAATTTTCAGCGAGATCGAACTTCAAAAAGGTGCTTCCAAAAAATCGACCTTTCATAGCCTTTAGACAGAGCTGAAACGAAAACCTTTGTCTTAGTATTATCCTAGCGACTCCTACCATTACTATAAGCCCCTTGACATTGACTTCGAATTTTTCAGTTCGCCATCAGAGCATTTAATCGGTAGTGAAGTCGTACTCAGTTACGTCGCTAACGCCAAATAGATTTTGTCTTTTGAAAAATCTAGACATGTTCAAAATAATTTTACACCGAGATTTGATAGCCTTAGAAGTCGTGTCTAGAATCATGCATCAAGTTTTCAGCGATCGTGCAACAATTTGAAATTTTTAAAAACCAAAGTATATCGAGTAACAGTTGATGTTCTTTTTGTGTGTCACGTCGCTAACGTTATTGTTTTTTTAATAACTCCTCTGAACAAAGCTCTAGAGTTTTGATTTTTTCATGGCATATGGAGTAAATTGAAACTCGTACAACATGCAAAAATTGCACTTAAACTAGCTGATAATTCCAAGATGTGCATACTCCAAGTTTGTGATATCACGTCGCTAACGAATGATTTTGCCCATATACAGAACACAGAGAAGAAGAGAAAAAGAAAATGAGAGGACGAAGTACAGATATATTCAGAGAGTAGAAGGATATATCAAGAAGAAAAGGGTAGCTATATTAAGAGGAAGGATAGATATATCAGAAGGAAAGAAAGAGATATGGAATGGAAGGAAGTATATTTTAAGGAGAAGGTTCGGATAATAGCACGAGTAATTAAGAGGAAGGACAAATGTATAAGTTGCATCGGTGATATACAATAAATTAATCAATAGTATACATAGCTTCAACACAAGGACGGACAGAAGATATGGTGATAAGACATGTCAAGAGAAGGTCAAAGACCGTCTGTGAACATAACATATCATAGAATAAGTACAGATGATTAATGAGAGCGGGAATGTCATAAAAAGTTCTCAATGAAATATGTTTGACAAAAAACAATTGTGTAAACAAATGAAATCTGTTCTAGTCTAAATAACAAAGTTTCATAAGAATAAAAATTTATTGATGTGAGCGAGAACATGCTGAGTTAGGCGCCGTCATATCATTGATTGTCTTCGCTCTAATATCAAAAGAAAGAAAAAAAAACGTAATAATTACTACCATTTACACTATATTTCATGAACTTTCTTCAAGATTGTGAAGTATTGCTTTCTTATCCATGATCTCAAGGCTACATCCGTACAAAACTTTTCGAGATCTTAAAAGTTTATATGTATTCAAAATAAATAAAATTCAATGAGATCGAACTGATTTTGTTTTGGTTTTTTTACTATTCTTTATGTAATTATGTTGCATATTTGAAACGGCTGAAAAAAAAAATGATTAAAACAGCAGAGTAAAGAAACATATTTTCTGAAGTTGAAAAGAGAGAAAAAAAAACACCATCAAGTTACCTCTCTATTGTTTTCCAGGATAAAACGATTAAGAGCACTGATGAGAGAAAAGAAAAACAAGCTGCTATCGATAACATTAGTATTACAGTTGTTGTTTGTCTGTACGTCGAGTTCTTATTTTTATAACATATACAATCATGGAAAATGGTGGACTGGATTTATCGAAACTTTCGCCTGGTGAATTTCAAGCATATGGTATGAAGAATGCTTCTGAATTTGAATATCGTGTAGAGCTATCTTGTCGAATTGCTTCAACTTTTAAAGTTCAACATCTTATTGTTTTGGAGGATGTTGCATTAACAGTATCAAAGTCCGAAAGAGCAACCAGCTTTTTTGCTGTTCAGGTAATTGAATGCATTGAGAGATCCGTAGATGATATTCAGAATGACTAAAATAAACATGTATTCATGAAAATTTCAGATATAAGTAAGAATCAAACTCGTTCATTTCTAGTGATTATATTCATATAGGTTTTAAATTATTTATTTGAGATAATGTAAATAATTGTACATTTTTTTAAAATATATTATTCAAAACAAGATAATTAAACGATCATTAACAATACAAGTGTCATAGTTAGCTCGAAAATGAAATTATCGAAGGAAAATATATCGAAACTATATGTTGAATAAAGTCATGTTCTTTGTCTATAGTTGTTCTGCATGTATAATCAATAGTAAAGGAAGATGAATCATAATCTTATAATAGTAAATAATAATAATTGTAGAAGTGTGTGGATGTAGATTAATAGAAGACCCACATCCACGCTTCTAGATGTAATGGAGTATTTAGATAGTTTGCCATTTCAAGTTGAGAAACAAAAAAATGACATTTTTGTAAACCTTTTCTCTATATATTGATTGACTTGTTTATTCCAGACAGACAAATGAATCGGAAAAATAGTATTCAAACACCATGACTTACAACTACTAAAACAGTGCAGTATGTCCCAGAAAACGTGTTTAAACTACTTAAAAATGTTTAGCTTTTTAACACGTTATCTCCGTTTAAATGGATAAGGATGTGGATGTCCACAACCATTTAAACGTAGTTTTTGAGACATATCACACAGTTTTAACAGTTTGAATATCTGTGTGTGTGCGTATGGCCCCTCTATTAAGCTACACATACACCTACAGCAATACCCAACCTACAAACACATATTCGTATTTCCACACCCACACCTGAATTCTTTCGCTGTCTTAATCCAATAATAACAAGAGGACATCACGATGTTTTTTCAATTATTAACGTATGTGACGGTTGTTTAACTGTGGTACTTTTTAGTAAAAGAACATACGTTTGACCAGGATCAAATTCAGCACTTTTTTATTGGAAACGATACCTTTCATGGTCGTATGAAGCTTGCATTAAATATCATAATGTCACAACTCGAGTATTCTAAATAGATATAGGTATGAGATGGTCTCTCTCTCACGACGAAATCAGGACCGGCACTAAAAACGATTGACTCCCGCTAATGTCTATGCAACATAGTACCTTGAAAAAGTATGAATATGATAATTGCTTCTAATTGTTTCTGAATATGCCTCAAGCATAT